GTCGGAAACGACTAGCACATACGTATATGCAAGGGGAACTTTTACCTTTACCTTTGGGACTGTTGATTTATAATGTAGCTTTTCTTGAATCTAGCCATTATGGCTTAGTCAAGCCTGACTTAGCAGGATATGTGAGCTACCGGTATAAAACAGGTTCTTTTGGTTTGTGTCTTCCAGTCCTTTTTTAAAAAACCATGTGTGCTTTTTCTGTAGCACAATGTTGTTACAAAAGGCAGTCCAGGCCCTGGGGAAACTAGCCTGAGAAGAACACGAGGCATAGTAAACTTCAAGTCACACGCAGGGCCACAGATGTTGAGTAGGCTTCTTATGTGTTCCCCCAACCAGGGATGAAGCACAATAAATAATAAATAAAATGAAAAGTGAGAGAGGAAATTGCAGTGAGCAAAATGCCATTGGAAGGATTCCCCCTCCCCCAAAGCCAATATCTCCCTTTAACACTTGGCACATTTGCAAGCAAAACATTTCTTTCCCAGTCAGCCCAGGGAAGCAGAGCAGGGAGGAGAATAGAGATTTTGTTTATGTTGTATTTATTTGTTTAAAATGGCCACCCAGCACATAGATAGGTAACTTTGGGAGATAGATAACATTTTTCTTAATCCAAAAATTCAGTTACAGTTAAAACAACAATGGGGCTACTTTGCATTGGAGCAAAATGCATTTCCATCCCAAAATATATCAGGATAAATTAGCTTTCCCCTAATTTATGCAATCCAATTTTTTGCTGTTGTGGTATAATACTATGTTGATCTTCCTCTCATTTCTATCTGACTAAAGAAACATGTTTCTGGTTATGGGTAGCAATGGGTTGAATGTTTTTAGACTTCTATTTTATGCTTTCCCCTAACTCCTAAATCCAAACAACCTCTCTACACAACAACATCTGGCACAGAAATCTCAAAGGTGTGTGTGAGACTGCAGTGATTTACATACGACTGTATAATACATATTTTGCAAAATACAAACCAGAAGGGTAAGGCCAGTGTTTTTCAACCTTGGCCACTTTCAAATGCATGGACTTCAACTCCCAGAATTCCCCAGCCAGCTTAGTTCACTGGGAAACTCTGGGAGTTGAAGTTCATGCTTCTTAAAAATGGCCAAGGTCGAGAAACACTGGGTAAGACCATTTAATCATCAACTGGAAATGAGACAGTGACAGCAATGTGTGAACAGAGAATAGAAATAGCAACAGCGCTTAGACTTATATTTCACTTCATAGTGCTTTACAGCCCTCTCCAGAGTTAATAGAATCAGCATATTGCCCTCAACAATCTGGATCCTCATTTTACTGACCTTGTAAGGCTGAGTCAACTTTGAGCTGGTCAGAATCAAACTCCTGACAACGGGCAGAGTTAACCTGCAATGCTGTATTCTAATTACTGCACCACCATAGCTCTGAGCATGGAACACTTTCTCCGAACATTGCCCTAAACATGGAGTTGCCAGACAAGATGGCCCAAATGCCACTGAAGATTGCAGGCAAGGATAGCCAAACGAGAATTAACAATTGCTGTAATTATAACACATCTGGGAAAAGGCTGTTTTGGGACAGGCCGAGCCTGGAATCCAGTTGGAAGACCGCAAAGCTATTGCAGGATACTCATATTTTGCTTTAATATCCTACTTTAGGAATCTGCTTCCTCAGAATATTATTTGATTTCTTGCAGTTTTGATGCAATAGGGCCATCTTAACTGAGATGGAGTTCCAGCAGAAATCCCAAACATCTGGATTTTCAGGTGCTGGGCACTTGAGGCCTGATCTCAGGTTCTTACAAGGCGTTAGAGCCACCTGCTTTTCATCTGCTGTTGTTTTCCATCCACTGACCTGGCCCAGCCTTTGAACAAAATTGTTCCCAGCAGAGGCCTAACGACTTTGCTCGGATAATGCTGCAGCACCACGAAGGCCTGTTGCTCTAACCCTTTTCTGTCAGAAAGGAGGAATAACCAAGGTTTAACCAATGCCGCATGTGAAGCAAGCTTTAAAGAGGACTACGGGCAGGCCCAAGGCACAGGCAAGGCCACGTTAGGGGTAGAGACCGTTGCACTGCAGCTAAACCCCATGTTGGTTTGTCAAGGTTCAGACTAGGTCAGAGGTGGGTTGCCAATTTTTTTACTACTGGTTTGGGCGCGCTCGCACATGTGGAGAAGCATCTGGGCGGGTGGGTGGAGCACCCTGCTGCCGCTACTACTGTTTTGCCTGATCCGGGCCGGGCCGAACTGAGAGCAACCCACCTCTTTACTAGGTGGCTTTGATTCTCTTGTAGCTTACTTGCTAACCATGGTTGAACATACACAGATGAGCATGAGTTCTAAGCAAAGTTCAAACATGCTAAGCCAAGCTGCCTTAAGGTGACAAACATACCCAATACTCCTTACTCCTCCTATTTTCCCCAGAACAACAATCCTGTGAAGTGGGTTGAGCTGACAGGAGTGACTAGCCTAAAGTCACCCAGCTAGCTTTCATGCCTAAGGCAGAACTACAACTCACTATCATTGGTGATTGGCCCAAAGTTCCCCAGCCAGCTTCATGCCTAAGGCGGGACTAGAACTTAGTCTCCTGGTGATTGGCCCAAAGTCACCCAGTTGTCTTTCGTGCTTAAGGCATGACTAGAACTCACCGTCTCCTGGTTTCAAGGCCAGCATGTTAAAACACTACACCAAACTGCAAACATTGTTGTCATATTTGGATAATTTATATAAGATGCTTAATCAGAATCCCTTGATACACTAAATTCAGTTTCTGCTTTATAAATGGTGGTTTATGGTTTTGTTGCATGAACCCAGTTAACACATGGTTATGATTTCATGTAATCCAACAACCTTTGAAGGAATTGACAACCACTGCTTTGAACCAGTAGCTGGATTCATATAATTGCTTAAACGGTTTAGCTTATAATGAGAACCCAGTTTGGGTAGTTAATTGATAGTTCTGCCAGATGGCCAAACCCAGAAAAACAATGGTCTACTTAACCATGGATTAATATATTGCAACAACGCAACTATTATGTGATATTTTTATTTTTGCACTGATGGCTTTTCAGATATGGACCAAGGCAGCATAGAAGTCACAGAAGTGATGACATTATTGTGTGATGACATTGTGATATATATCCTCCTCTTTCCCATGCATGGTATTTAATCATTAAGGCTAATCTCCTACTAAACAGGCTAAATATGCAACATTTACAGCAAGGTCTATGGAGATTCCCAGTCATCCAGGTCATAGTTGTCCCAAAGGTGCTTCCCCCCCCCCCCCCCCC